ATAGTACTGTACCCTAGCAGACACAGTCTCTCTGGCTGGCATTACTGGGGCAATAATGGGATAACATTTGTGGCTAGTGATAGCACTGAAACTTGAGAGGAAGCCTTATTTCAATTTTCTCCCTCCTAGGAAATTGTTATTAGTTAACTGCAGGATGAAACCTTAGGAAACTGACATGTTTTGTTTTTGGTTTGGTTTGGTTTTATCCCACTCACCCCCAGCATTACAATTTAGCATGTTATAACTGACAAAACCTGACTTCTTGTTTGTGTATTTTCCCAAATTTTGTTGGACCTATTTAATGTGTTTATTATTTAGGACCAGACTAAGAAACTTCAGAGCATGTTCTAATATATAGTATGTACTGTTTGTTTGTTTATTTGTTATCTGTTAACACACACACACACACACACACACACACACACACACATTAGGCTCTGCCTGACTTCTTGTTGAACCTATTTAATGTGTTTATCATTTAGGACCAGACTTAAGAAACTTCAGAGCATGTTCTAATATATAGTGTATATTGTTAGTTTGGTTATTTGTTATCTCCCATCACACACACACACACACACACACACACACACACACACACACACACACACTGAATGTACCAAGGAAACCTAGACTATATTGTCAAGATGTGTAGTTGTGCATTCACACTTGGGCTTATGCATGGAGGCCTGAGATCAACGATGGCCCCAACCATTCTCCACTTTATCCAATGGGACAAAAATCTTACTGAGTTCACCGACTAGCTACTCTGTCTAAAATCATGTTCCATTGATCGGGCTATATTTTCCACCTTCTCCAAGTTCTGAGGTTGCAAAAAGTGTGCTGGGCTTTCTGGGTATTAGGAATCTGCAGTAAGATCTAACTACCTCAATTCTAGGGGTCTAATCCACAGAGTTCTCTTAGCAGCCCCCTAGTATTTAAGATCCATGTTTTTCTCTAATGTGAAATGGCTTAAATACACAAGTTTGCATGAACTATAATTATTAGAAAAGGAAAAAAAATGTTCATTTCAACTTCCCCACAACTTGTCCCTAATGTATCTAATAGAGTATTTATTTGAATACTCAACTGAGACACAAAAACAGAATTGGCAAATACTTTTGGACTCCTTCCTACTTTAATGATTTACCTCAGTTCAAACGTGTAAAGACTTCCCAAGCCTCCTAAGGAATCATCTCATTTTTCTATTTACAGTACATGAACTCTTCCACAACATGTCCTAGTTACATGTTCTGGCATGACAACAGTTGTATCATGATGAATAAAAGACTCTGGGAATGATATTGGGGTTCAAACTTCAAGCTTCAGATCAGAAAAGCAAAGCAGCCAAACCAGTAGATCTTGCCTCTACCCAACTGAAATGGCAATCCTGTCTCCACAAATACTCAGGGGCAAAAGTCTCTGAATTCCTGTCTCCTCTTCCTTATATTCTTTCCCTACCCAGCCAAATCCTCCTTTCTCCACCTCCATAGTGCTGGAATTAAAGGAATGTGATCCCAGGTGCTGAGATCACCTTTGTGTGAGCTGTTTCTTTTAGGACTGCATCAATTCCCGTACTGAGTGTGGTCTTGAACTAACAGAGATCCCTCTACCTTTTAATCCTGAGTCCTGAGATTAATGGTCTGTACCACCACCACCTAGTGTCTACAGCTAACTAGTATAGCTGCTTTGGTATTTTTGATCTCCAGTGGCTTTAGTAAATCATAAACAATATAACACCACAAACAGTCTTTCTCTTACTATTGAGTCTATTATTGTTCTTAGAGAAAGAGATTTTGCTAATATTTTTAATTGCAACCTGTGGCCTCTTTTTCACTCATGTTTTTTCATTATATGTAGAGCTTCACCTTAACATATATGTACATACTTCACTCGTGTAATATTATTTTTTTTAATTTTCCTCCGGAGTTTTCAGTCAATAAAAAAAAAAAAAAAAAAAAAAAAAAAAAAAAAAGATCTAGGCTCAGGTGCTAAAGTGATGCTGAGAAATTACAAAAACAGTTTTAAAAGCACATTATGAAGACCTTCACTTAAAAGGTATCAACATATATCAAACGTATCAAAATATACAGTAAAGAAAATGTGATTCCAGTCAAACAAATTGAGCATCTAAAACTTCAGAGCAATATGATAGTTAATTTTACATAATACCATAGAAAATGAAGGAAGCCTTCCAAATGTAACAAGTTTCTTAACTGAAAAACATTTCTAATTCCTAGGTTATAATTCTAAATCTTCTGGGTTTAATCCACGCTAAACAAGCTTTCTTTCTAAAGAAATTATCCTCTCACTCAAAAATTTAATTTCCCAGAGAAGATGCTTTCAAATATGGAAATCCACAGAAGTCCAGTTAAAGGAAGAGTTTTGTTCTGTTTGCTACCTGCAGAGTTATCTGCTTGCCCAGGACACTGAACTGAGAATAGTCCCAGTTACTTAAGTACTCACGTGTCCCTTTCTTTACTTGGTAAAAGTGGCTTTATAATAAACACTGCATTTGTTAATTCCTCACTCTTTTAGTGTCATTTTCTGAGTAATCACCTTTGAAATAAATTAATTGCATGAAAGCTTCTTCTTAAATTTGGCCTCTGGGAAACCCAAATTGAGATGGGACACAGCTTCAAGGTTTATCTGTTCTATACTAACTGTCCCTACCTCTTGCCTCTTCAGAAACATGCACTGTACTCCAACATCCTCTAGACAGCAAATTCCATATCCCTAAGCCTATAAAGCAGCTGATTCTCCATGCTCTGTGTTCTCTCTAAAACCAACACTTAACTCCTCCTGTCTTCACATTAATGAGATTCTCCTCCTTGTTGAGATGCCAAACAAACAGAGTGGAATACGATGTTCAGATGCATGTGATTCTTTAGAAGTAGTACAAGAATTAAAAGGCTCCATGATAGATTTAGGGTTCAGGAGTTTTACCAGTAAAATGATGGTAATAACATTTGCTTGACAGAATAATGAATTAAACATGTATGTGTTGAATATTAAATGCCCACTCTGGGCTCATGTGTTGAATGTTTATTTCTCAGCTGTTGGCACTATTTTGGGAGGTTCTGGACACTTTAGGAGGTGAGTTTTAGAAGACTGGGAGTCTTGCCTTTATTACAACTTATGCCTTCCTATCTCGCTTCTTCCTCTCCCCCGTGAGATAAATAGATTGACTCTGTTCTGCCCACTCCATATACCATGATACTGTGCCTCACCATGGTCCTAGTATCAATGGAGCTATAGGCTGAAATATCAGAAGCCACAAGTTAAAATAATTTTCACTCCTCTTAAATTATTCATGTCAATTACTTTCTTAGAACAACATAAAATAACTAAAACAAACCTTTGAAAACTTAAGATGGATAGCATACCACATTCAAACAACCTTTGCATATTAAAAGTTGCCTTTTACAGGTGTTGAGTTTCTAGTAGAAATAAAAATGTGCTCACCTATATTGGGTAAGCAAATACATTTATTAAATATTTATGCTGAAAACCAACTGCATCTTCAAACATACATAAACATCAAACACATAAGGATGTTTGCATTCTATGGGGGGTTGAAAATATTGTAAATAACAGTTACCATTTAATAATTAAATACAAAAAGGGATTTTCTCAGATCTAATCAGTTGTGTGTGATCTGAGGAGGATGACCAACCCAACAATTGACTGAATGAGTAAATGAGTGAACGAAAAAAAAACATTAAGAAAGTATATTGGTGTTAGAATCAAATTACCTGGCTTTCTACCCCCTCTATTTACTATTGACTTAATCATTTGACTATACCTACTTTTGTAAACATAAAACGTAAATAATATTATTTACCTTACAAAAATCACCTATTGTGAATATGAAGTCAAATTCATCTTAACAACTTGTGGTAACTGGTGTACAACAAGACTCAGTATATTAAGACATATTAAGTGGTTCATGGGGATGATGTAGTTGTTTGGGGAAGGTGGATGAGCAGATATCTTACCAAGAAGATATGTATGCACTTTTTTTTTTTTACTAATAGAGGAAACTAAAAGAAGTTTATGTTTCCAGGTATTAACTGATGGCTGATAATGAAACTTTCTGATCCCTGTTGCTCCTTCATAGCAACTTCCCTTGAGTGGCTTGGCTGGGCTGATGAAGCAGTGGGAAGGAGAAGCAGTAGTGGAGATCTGGCTTTCAGGAAGTGTGAGCTACATGCCAAGGGCAAGTCAAAAAGATTTTGCAAAGGCTCCTTTGATACCTGGAGTTTGCTGCTCAGAACTGCTGAGGACTCTTGTTGAGTGTTGTCTTAGTCTTCCCTGATGGGCAATAGAAGGAAACTAAGATCAACTGCTGGGGTGACAACTATGAAACAAATGGAAATACTCAACAGGGCTTGCAGCAGCTGTGATACTGCTGAGCTCCTGGACTACCATCATACTGTGGGTTTGCTCTGTGGGAACACCATCTAGGAGATGGCTTTGACAGGAGTCATGTAGCCATAAGCAGAGGCATTGATATTCAAGGCATGCCAGCATAATATTGGTCACTACTCTGAGGCTGTTCCTGGGACAGTCCATACAACAGGCAAGAATCCTAAGAGTTTAGAAAGCAGCATGCACTATGAAAAGTATCACATTTCCCTAGTTACACTTTCACAGATGGACCCTAAACTATCTGTAAGAAGTATGGGTTTTTCCGCATCAGCATCCTTTGAGACACAGATATGCTCGCAATGATGAATTCAGTTAGTAATACATATATTAAACAGAACTACTATTGAAAAAAGAGTCACAGACATTCTTGTATCCAGGTATAATTTTTCTTTATTTAGCTGCTAAATATAGGGGAGTGTTAGTATTGCTGTCAACTTTATAGAAGACATTAAATGCTTGAGCAGCAATGCAAGAAGCTACAGGTCTATCATCCTGCTCTGGGTTTCATGAGTGTGGTGATGCTGTGTGGCTGCAGCAAACCTTTATAAAGTGTGTCTGCTGGGCTGAGCTCTTAAACAGAGCATCATTCTGAAAAAACATAAGTGAAATCTAGCAAGCAATTAGCACTGGCATTCCAAAACTCTTCATCAGACTGGTTTTCACTTCCTCTCCAACTTCTTTACTGCAAAATAAAACAATATATTGATGAGGAGGAGGACTTATATAAAAAATACCTTGAAATTTATACATTAATGTGTATACACAGTGTCAGACGTGAAAATAGATTCTATATTAGGTTCTAGTCCAGAGGACTTAGTAGATCAGCTCAGGTCCCATAATAATCATGCTGGCTTTGAGGATAGGTGCTGTTTAAGGAGTGCAATTCCATACCCAACCACCCTTCAGGATCTCGGCCTGCTGCCTTACTGTCTCTATAGACTGAGTGCATCATACCCTAAAAGATAATATCTAAAACAAGGCAAAGTGAGCATGGATTCAGCTGAAGTCCAACTTTTGTAAAATGCACCATGGAATAAAGCAGAGAGAGCAAAGACCCTCCTGCCTTCCTTTCTTTGTTGATTTTCATGGCTTTGTAATGCTGCTATTTAGTAGAGGAGTGATAGCAAAAATGTCTTTATTTGTTCACTTCTGTTTGTTCCCAGTTGATACAGTGAGACTGTCTGGAACTGATAAGATAAAGTTAACTAATGAAGATGGGCATTTGCAGCAGTGAGTCCAAGTGAACAAAAATAAAAAGCATCAGAAGAGATGGGAAGAAAATTAATTTCTAAAACATAGTCTGATAGAACACTGTGATACAATGACAAAGGAGGAAATGACTAGAACTTTCTATTTCCAGGTGTTAACTCATGATTGAGAATGAAACAATCCAACATGGCCAGTGGCAAATAGAGAAGGCCAGTTGCTTTTTCAGAGGCAACTCTTTCAGCTTTGCACTGGGTTTAATCATGGACAGGAGCAGTGACCCATAAGACCTGTGGCTTAGAGCTGGCTCCAAGAAGGGCCATAATCTAGCCAAGGAGTAACTTAGGCAGAAAGAAAGTATAGTAGCTTTGTGAAAAGTGTATGCCCTCTGCATACTTTAAGGTAATGGTTTCAGTAGTGTGAATGGAGGAAAGAAGAAAAGAAAGCACTAAGATGGAGGTTGGGTCTGTGATGCATTGTAGGGTCCAGCCACAGACAACCATTTGCTGTGAGCTAAGAAGCAGAGATTCTCTGAAACAATAATTCTAATGAAAATGGGAAATGACTAAATTGTACATCCTTTATATTGTTAACAAATAAAACCTTGTTAATTAAATTTTCCTCAAGGTGTCAGCACATAGTACTTCATATTCCAAATGATTTTTAACTAATCATGTGGCTCACATGTACGAAATGTCAAGACATAAGCTAAACACCACCCCCCCCACACACACACCTATTCTAATCTGTGTAACATAATGCCATTTGACACAGAATGAAATTAAAGTCCAAGAATATTAAATAGCACATTTAAGGCCACTCTATTTCACATTCAACCTATGTTTAGGCAGTGTCCCTACTTGTTTTCATTGTTGGTATGACCATAAGTTAGTCTGTCTTAATCATACTAAAGTAAGTATTGAGTATAGTTTATGTTCTGTCATCAGAAAGGTGTATTCCTCTGCTTACATTAAATCAAATATCATATACCAGTGTCCACTCAGTTTATTTCTAGATATAATTAAATATAATATGTTGTAGTTCTGTACATAATTAAAGAGGGTGAAGCAGTAAAGACAGCCCAGTCCCCTGGCTCGCCATCACACTTGGATGCTGATGCTGCTGGGAGAGCAAAGTCATGTTTGGCACCACAATTTGGTGTGGGCTTAGAAATGTCAGATGATACTATTACAAGTACGGTGATCATTTTAGGCACATTCTAACATTTCTACATCCCTTTGCCAGTCATAATATAGGGAAAAAAACTAAGCACAAGAGGGCCAAGAGTAAGCACTTAAGAAAGATGCAGACAATTAAATAAAGCAATAAAATGTCATGTGTTCAAGCTGACACTCTGGCACCTCAGACCCATTATTTTATTGCCAATTGAACAACACACTTATTTGGGTTTTTAAAAAATACATAAGAAAGAACTTAATGCCCTGAGAAATCATAATTCTGAAGAGAATCTTACTCCATTACTTCTCTCTACAGCTGACTCTGGGTAATAAGTGAGTGTAGCCTTTGAAACTTGAAGCCATTATCACCAAAAGCATGTTTTTGTTTTTTTTTTTTTAAAGAATGAGCAATGTAAATAGGTTCTTTCTCTCTTTTACTGTAAATATGCATACATTTTCCTAAAAAATAAAGGGAAACAATATGCATAATTTATCTTGAAGATATAGAACCAGGCTTTGCAGATCAGAATATCCCATAAGACTATAAATAATTTGCACATTGTTTACTAATGATCAACTTAAGTGAAGACATGAGACACAGTATTATAGTTTATTATCCACACACCAAACCCTGTGAAGTCTTTAGTAATTAAGGTCCTCTCAGTATATAACATGATGGAGAAACCATGTATTTTATAGTGAACACTAAGAACTCAATATTGAATCTAGGTTCAAAATCACTGGTCTCTAGATCTGAGATCCAAGGCTAAACTTGACCTTATTGCCTTATTCGTTGTTGTTGTTCTGAAATATAAGAACAAAAAGGAGATATGAATACATTGTAGGACCTGGTTTTGTGGTGGTTCTGTAATCCCATAATCCCAGTTATCCCATTCCAATGCCACTTGCCCCTCAGTTCATGATTCACTCCAGACAAAGTTTACCTTTCATCTGCTTAGATGGCATTGGGAGAAAGTCTAAATTGTCAAGCTCACCTATAGTAGATTCACCCAAGGTCTTAGAACAAGAAACAAATATGATCTGTTCCTTTGTATTGCCTAGTTGAGAGATTCTCTACGATTTCAATTTGATTATTTTGAACAAAATCTAAAAATAAGTGGGAATTTAAATTACGAGCTTCATCTTCCCTGTTGAACATAATGGAATATATTTCTCTCCCCTCCTTTTTCTTGAACATGCATTTTAGAAAATGTGTCAGCAGTACTGTCCTTATTCTTTGAACTGTCTAGAAATCCATTTGGGGAAAATAGATGGGTGCTTTGTGAAGCCCTGGGAAGTATTTTCTGAGGCTTTATCCAACTTTTTTACAAGGTGTAAACTTCCAAGGAACTTAATATCTTTCCCTCCTAGCTTCCAGAGCACAAAACACCTCATGTTTAGCAGGTGCTAGATCCATTTGGGTGTCTGGCTCTATGTTCTGTCACTACTTCCTAAAGATATTTAATTCTTTTATAAGTAAAAATAAAACACAGATGAGTTCCCAAATTGCCAGGCAAATCTAGGACAAGCTTTGGGTTACAAACAGTGCCTTCATGCTTCTTATTTAAGGGTAAAGTGATTTGTTTTATCTGGAGAGGATAATGAACTATGTTTATTAGGCTTTCTGATAAAAATTTTCCAGGGTTTGCATTCTCTTAATGGATTACCCATGATGAATATCACATTCCACTGAGCCAATGATGTTCAATTCTAAATAAGAGGTCACACTGTTTGTTTTAGAAAAGGACAGGATGGCTTACAGAAAGAGGGACTAGGGACAGGGCATGGGAAGAGTTGGAAAGGGGAAAAGGTCAGGAGGAAATGAAATAAACAAGAGGACTCCAGGGTGGGCTTCTCAAGAAGAAATCTTAAGAAAGGTTATATTTTTACCTACATAGACTCTGGACTTATGATAGAGAAGATAATAGCAGAAGAGGCATTTTGATTGTTCACTGTTGCTAATCTTGGGGGTTGGAATGTCCTTCTGGATGTCTAGACTAGGTTATACCCTCTTGTATGCATATTGTGGATACATCTATTCTTGTTAAGACAAATTCACTCTCGTCCTCCAGCAAGTTATGTATCAAATATATGAAGCTTCTTTTATCATCAGATAAGCCAGGTTTCAAGTTCACCCTTGAAAGTCAACCTTAGCAATCCAAGATTTATCCAAGCTTGATTTTGAGAAATAAGAGTCTAGGGAAATTATTTGAGGGAAAAATTGTGCCAATCCCTCTTAAGGGCTTTAATTTACCTTGAATCAAACCATATATGAGAGTGGTTACCTTGAGCACATGATTTTTTTCCATTTCTGTGTTCATCAAGAGAAGGGTGAAAAGGTGCATATCTTTATGATAAGAACCCTAGGCATCAACAGAGCTCCTGAAATTCTCCATAAACCTGGCACACTAAGTTCTACCACACAACAGCAAATCTATCATTCCTCTTTGCTATCAGAAAAAGAATCCTGACGATCCTTAATATCTGTCAAAATCTGCAAGAAGAGGAACAGAAAACAGAACATTTGGGGGTGTAGCTCAGTGACAGTGTGCCCAAGCATGCACAAAGTCTCGGTAACAGAGTGTGCCCCAGTGTGCACAAGGCCTTAAATTTTATTCCAAGCACCACCACACACAAATCACTATGAACCTGGGAGAGGAATTTGCAGAGCATGTGTTTTCTGGGAACTAGTGAATAATTAGCTCCTGTGATACTGAGACAGGAATCTGGTCCTGTACTGAAAGTCATTTGACCCTCAGGCTGAAAAGAAATCATCCTGGGTCATCTGCAGGAGAAGAGCAAAGAGAACAAGGTTGCTAATATGCTGCTCTGCACTGTGGTGCTTGCAATTAATCCTGAAAAGAGAGAAGTTAGTTTCGGAGTGAATTGTGTTTCAAAGAAAACGTGTGTGTGTGTGTGTGTGTGTGTGTGTGTGTGTGTGTTTGTGTGTGTGTGTGTGTGTGTGTGTGTGTGTGTGTGTGATGTTGAATTCACAAGATATGCTACATGCAAGCACAAATGACTATATCTGGTAGAATACAAAGTTCTTCTCTGTAAAATCACTCAGACATTACTAATCTTGGGGAGAGAATATATGTTCCTTGTAAAATGTTAAATATCCACCTACTTGGAGATTATTATATCTCTGTGAACAATAGAAATCAACAAAACTGATCTTTCAAAATTGTTCAACCAGCCTACACGTTTATCTGATTATTTAGGAAGCTTGTTATCTCAGGATTCATTCATGGCCGTATTTGTGTGTCTTTGTGCATGTGTATGTATGCGTGTATGTGTG